TAGTCCATCGCAGGGTTACCCCCCAGCATTAAATTCGCCGGTACTCATTTATACACCTAGGTTAAGAGTTAGGCACCGTGAGAGTAAAGTGGCTTGCCCAAGAACACAACAAATTAATATTGTCCCCGGCCAGGGTTTGAACCCAGACCGCTCGCCCCGGAGTCTAACGCACTAACCATGAGGCCACCGCGCCTCCCACACCACGCCTCTCTGTTAAATATCTACCCACTAAAACCACTCTTTTTTGAGGCACAGAAGGTAAATTAGCACTACGGATTCTAGATTGGCTCATTACGGTTTGCACTTCATGTGGGAGTTGTGCGCAGCAGCTCAGTGTATAGGAAGTTTTTGGTCATCTGAGTCAAATTAACCATTATTTATTTAGATCCGGCTGATACTTTCTGTAGCGTCATGTACAGCATTCTTAGAATACTTCCATTCCTATAAATTTCGCTGTCAACTTATCTGAAACGAATGCCAAATCCTATTGAACTAGTAATGACCATTTTCGTGGCATTACCACCTGTCAGCACTGAAGTCTGTCACTCCATTTTTTTTGCTCAAATTTCATTTAGGTTATGATCTATAGAATTTCTCTGTAGTACTAGCTAGCACGCTTGCTATATTTTCGGCTAAGACATCATTTATTTATTTATTTTTTTATTTTTGTTTTTTGGTATAGCATTATCGAATGATAAAACAATTATTGAATGCGATTATCACAAAAATCGTAATAGAAGTGGGGAAGGGGGGAGGGGGGAGGGGGATGGGGGATGGGGGTGTCTCGTTGCCTCAGCTGCGAGTTGCTGAAAATAATTGATCAACTCACCACTGGCAACTTCACGATATTCTGCCAAATCTCGTCCAATAGTTGCTAATTTGTTTGCCATACATTCACAACAAGTTTACTTACATAAATATTAACCCAATACATGTCCTTTCTGAACTTTTTAAGTGATTTTTTTTTTTGTATAACGAAAACAGTCACCAAAAGCGTAGGAAAATATAATAAAGTGCAAATGAATTCATTTTGACTAAAGAAAAACATCTTTTTTCATCTTTTTTCCCGTTTTTGGTGTGTTTTTTCTTTTTAATTGAAACTACGTTTTTCGATTCGCAAACGTTAGATGATCTTTGCAATGAAATCTTCCAAACAACAATCAGTTTGCTTAACTTTTGGAGATAATAGCGCTTCGCTAATGATATGTAGCAATTGGATTTTTTCATTGAGATTATGCTATGTTGCATGGTCACTTAGTCCTGAACCAAAAAGCCTTCTACTTAAAGATGGCAATATAGAAGTGAGGTTTACAATGTAAGTAAATTGAAACATTCTCAAAAATACTTGCTTGAAAAAATCTTTTTTCATGTTTTCACGCCAACGTTAGTCAGTGCTTAATGCTACAAGCTAATATCGCACTCTATTTAGCACGGAAGAGATGTTATATTTTGTACTCACATCATACTGAAACAAGAGAATCTGTACTCAGTTACTTCGATCTTCTCTTGACTGAATTTAAGTCGATAGTGTCATATAAGTCTGTTCACCGTAGTCCTGAACTCTATTTTGCACACTAAAAAACGCATTCATTTTGAAAAAAATTATACTTTCATTATGCTGCTATTTTTGCAGTCTGTCATTCTGTTCGCCAAGAATTGGTATTGCAAGACGATTGTTCAAAGGGCAATTGTAACGGGAAGGAAGGGAGAGGCCGTACTCAACAAAGTTTTTTTATGGGAGGCTCTGCTCCGAGGTGCAAACCCTTATCCTTTCGTATGTCATTAATTTTTTTCTCAGAAAAGAGGTAACTCTTTCATCAAAGTTTCATAGGAAATAGTGATACCATAATCGAGCGTGTAAAAAAAGTGTGGGAAATCCTCTTCCAAAATATTCCTCGCACAAACTCCCCGTCTGTCTAGCCTCCTCCGGCTGAGATGGTCTTTGGCCTCATCACGCAATCTCTATTTGGTAACGGCGTGACGAGTCATGAGATCGCAGGCTTCGTAAGTCATTTTCTCTCTGTTTTTCACTTTTTTTTCACTTTCATTTTCCCTGTCTCGTTATTTTTTGAGGATCCATTTTATCGTCTGAAAAATCGGTTTTAACACTGTGATAACTTGATGCAGA